ATGAATGTGCCCCAGCCATATCTGAGTGGCTATCGAGGATGATGATGGCGGGTTTTTCGTATTCGCGCTCCTCATGAATGTACTGTGATTGTGATGCTCTGGCTCAGGACACAGAATCTGATCCGCACTTTGGTTACGGACCTCCCGGACTTGTAGCGCATTCTAATTATCATCAGGCTGTGTCATCGCGCGCTGTGCTGTATGTACTCAGTAGTCTATTTTCCCCGCTGTACTCAGTGTATCTCCCTTCTCTATTAGAACTGGTATCGGACCCCTGCTCATGACTAGTAGATACAAAGCAGCCACTGCGGTGGCACATGAAATTACAGACGGACACTCTTGATCACTTTGGATATGCCGGATTTCTCGCCCTCGTACACGCCCTTGTTGCCGACGCCGTCCTTGTAGACGGCCTTCTGGGAAGCCATCTTCTTCTTGGCTTTCTCGAACCGCTGCCGTTTCTTCACCCGCGGGTTGCGCACGCTCTTGCTGCGCTGCGGGGTCAGGCCCTTGTTTTTGAGGATCGCACGCGTCAGCGCACGAGGGCCGTCCGCACTATCCTCGAACTCCGGCCTAGTGCGTCGCGTGAGCGGTCGTTCTGGAACGGAGGGCAGCAGACACGAACCTTGCCGCGGCCTTCGCCGCCTCGTACTCCGCCTTCTTCTTCTCCTTCTTCGCCTTCGACGCGCGGTGGACGAGCTCATAGTACCCGTTCTCCTCCCCCCCATCGCCGCCGCTCCCCGACTCGCCACCGTCGTCGTCGTCGTCGGCATCGTCCCTCCGCCGCTTTTTCTCCGAGACTCGCGCCTCCGGCTCGGCGTCGTCCAGGTCCGCGCCGCCCTGCCCGCGGCTCCTCCTCGCGGCCTCGCGCGCGAGGCGCTCCTCCCGCTGCCGCGCGCGCTCGCGGTAGGGGAGGTCGTCGTCCCCGCCCATCGCGTGCGCACGCGCACTCTGCCGGCGCGCACTCGTGCTCTCGATGCGCGCGGTGTGGAACCGCAGCGTCCGCCGGCGCGCCTGCTTGTCCGCGGCGTCGGCGGCCTGGAG